CCTACCCTGTTTCGTTACGAGAAGAAATAAGGACGAAATAAGGGTAAAAAAAATGCAAACTAAAAATAAACGTGAGTGACCAAAACCAAACGTCTTTTGATTAATATGGTCAATTCCTTCTTAATTCCCTCTTTCTGATCCAAATTCTGAATGATGTGGCCAATTTTCTGTTAATTAAACGTGAAGTGCACATTGATAATGTAGTTCACTTAATAGCTTCTTACAGCCATATATGTCACTTCTTGAGTGCGAGGTACGATTAAGAATGAATGCAGTCTGTTGGTTGTTCTCAAATTTTGAATGAAATATCAGACGTAAAGAGTTTCCAATTATTTTCATCCAGTCATCTTTGAGTGTGAGGCTTATCCGTACACTTTCGAAGAATCTGGCAGATGTAATGGAACCATTCAGTGTCCAAACGGTGATGACGAAAAGGATTGTGGTAAGACGATCTCTCTGTACAGTTTTTAACTTAGTAAGAAAAGACACGTGATCTGAAATACGTCGGACATCTTTTTGAACCAAATTGGTGGCAATTCAGTAATTTCTTTCATATTGTTCAATGTCAGAAGGGAGAGCATTACAAAGAGACGATTTTTTTTATCGTTTTGCTTGATTAGTAAAAATCTAAGTACTTTCTTTTCAGGGAGCTTTACCGTTTAAAAGGAAAAAACAAATAAAACAATTCAGTAGATTTTATACTGATGAAAAGAGAGTGACGTAAGGCATTATGTGCTTTCCAACAAAGGAAATTTTTTACTTTATATGTAACAATGGCCTCAGTCCTTAGTTACTCGAAGTCAGGCAAAAGAAAAATGAAAGTTTCTGTTGGTACGTTCTTTAAAGGATCTTATGTATGGTCAAAGTGTCTTGTCAAACACCGGAGACGATGGGAACAAGGTTAAGTAAACTTGTGTAACTCTCGGAAGCTAATTGAACACACTGTACATAATTGTTGAGATAATTTCTCAGAAATCCTCGCTATTTCAAAATGCACACAATAGAGTCTCACAATGGAAACATTAGATCCCTTTAGTAAGGGTTTTAATTGCCCAATACACTTTATACATTAACTCTCTTGTTTTGTAGATTGTAGTGCAAACGAGTACCGATGTCGTGATAGCATCTGCGTGAGTTCAGCCAATGCAGAATGCAATGGCATACCTGAATGTCTGGATTATTCAGATGAAGGAGTTACCTGCAATGCTGGTAAGTTGTGAAAGTTTTAAACCTCTTAGAAAAGAACAGTTTAGAAACTAATAAGTTCGAAGGTAATTTTAAGACAGCATTTCAAGGTATTTGTAGAGTTTTGGTCACTATAACACACGTAATACAGGACTCCTTTGTTTAACTCATTATCAAAGCGTACTGCATAGAAATCCCGAACGAGGTATGCTCAGCCATTCTTACGTACAACACCACCTACTTCCCGAATGACTTTGTGTCATCCCATCGACAAGCAAACCTCTTCATCGCTGAACATCTGCCCCAACTCACGGCCAACTGCACCAATAGCGAGAGACTTGCTCTGTGTATGTCGTTCTTCCCGGAGTGTCCTCAGTTTGGTTCTGCCCGAAGAGTCTGCGCCTCGTTGTGTTCCAGAGCTTTAGAATGTGTTGGTCTAGAGACGAACTCCACATCTTTACAGTGCGACGTTTACCCTGACCGTGGTATATTATCGACCTCAGAAGGCTGCCTCTTTGACGACGAAGGTGAGTTGACATATTTTGAAACTGATCGTTTGGTTGTTTTGATGAATATTACAGGATGCCCGTACCCACATTGTAATGTTGAAGGATAACTTTGATGTACAAGATACAGTTTATTAATTTCAGTGTCGACTGTAATAAAGTGCCCCATCAGCAATTTTAGCCAGAATATTGACTAAAACGTTACATTTGCCCTCTCAACACCAAATATATCCCATTTTTAGAAATCCAGTCGTTAAAGGCAATTTACCTGTATCTCTTGCTGCGTTGAATAGCGTCTGCGGTGTCCTGCATTCGAGTGGTCCTTCCAGATCTGCGCTTTATTACTAGGCCTAAAGCAGCGACCCTTCCATCGCTCAGATGACGTTCGAGGAATTGCTCGTGTACGCCGAGTTAACTGAAATTATTTATTGAACATTCCCCTTCATGAAAACCTTACTTGTTTGGCACCTAGTTTGGACTAGGTTCCTTATTCCTTGTTGAGGTGAAAGTGTTTGTCTCATATTAGAAGCACATCTGGACCTTTTTTCTGAATACCACCACATTGATCTAAGGCATGGGTCTATTATTCTTCGGATAGATGTGCTGCAGACGGGCAATTGCGGGCGTCGACCAGCGGCCTCGCCTTCTCTCAATCCTTTCAGTCGTATCATTGGTGGAGCTCAGAGCCACATTGCCAACTGGCCTTGGATTGGTTCATACCAGTATCGTAGCGGATTTCACGCGTGCGCTGCTACGCTAATTAACCCAAGTTGGGCAGTTACTGCGGCCCATTGTGGGTAAGTAGGCCTTCAAATAACCTTTTTCGAGAGAATTCAGCCATTGCCCTGTTTTTAAACATGAAAGCTCGTTTTCTCGTAACATCATTCAAATTTCTGATCTTCGAAAGGCCTATTTTACCAGAACAGTTGGGGTCTCTTAAAACTGAATATTGTTTAAATAATATTTGAATGAAATTGATTAATTTGGAATAGTGGTAACGAATTGACGGAACTAAGTTTTATTTGATGTCATGTGTATTCATATTTTCAGTGCCCAACATCAGCTTGTTTTTGGCAGTTCGCTTTTGAATATCCCAAATGGCTACTCACACGTTCACCGCATTGCCCGAGTATTCTTCCACCCGGGATACGATAATCCAAGATACCATAACGATATCGCACTTGTAAAACTCGCCTCACCTGTGCCATACACCGACACCATCCAGCCAGCTTGCTTAGAAACTGACGAAGACGAAGTCGACAAGTACGACACATGCCATGTCGTGGGATGGGGCCGTACGTCTCTCTACGGTATGGCAATTCTTTCATGATTGCATAATGAATTATTGTTTGCACCCTTGCTGAGCAAGATCGAAGGAGACACTGGAAACAAAGATCCACAGTCGAAATGCTTCCCTAATAAATGGAGTCAAACTTGAAATGATCTGGGTCACCGACAATAATGTGGATAGCATATGATTAGCATTAAAAAGTAAGGTAAATCCAAAGAAGTTCATAACTTTCTAAATTGTCACCCTGGGAAACGTTAACATTCATGAATTTTGAGTCAGCTTTAGTAATCATTTGCAGATGCAATCTGTGGCAATTCCTCGAGAGTTGAGTCGTTCCCACGCTATATGTATGTACAACCTACAATGTGAAATGAAATGGAAACAGTAGCAATCGGCAATATTTTTCAGATTGGAATTCAGCACATTAGAATCTATAACAAATGACACTTTTTGCTCCCGAAGCATATAGCTTCAAAAATCGTTACCAAATGAAATTAAAAGGTTTATGAAACACAATGTTGCTCATTGTAGTGGAGACGGCATGTTAGTTGTACTATTTGGAACTAATTTTTTACACTTTCTTTGACTGCTGTGGATAGACGCTGGTTGTTATAAATTTTTGTTAATAGTGGACATATGAATTTCAGAACTGACCCTTCTCTGAAGCAATTAAAAACTCCTAGGGAGACTTCGAATTTTTATTAGCTCTAATGAACACAATGTCATGCTCATCATTTTGAAAAATGTTTGAAATTCTCTTTTACTAGCTTCCTGGTTATTCAAACATTTATTCTTAACAGGCAGTGTTTCTCCGGTGTTAAAGGAGGCACAAGTGCCGCTGGTAACGTGGGAACAATGCAAAACATACGCTGACGTTCGCGAAAATGTCTTCATCTCCTCCGACCAAATCTGTGCTGGAACAGCGGATGGAAATAATGCAACTTGTAGCGTACGTTTTGCTTTGTTGTTTTTGCGAACTCCACTTTTTTAATGTACTGCTGTCCCACAAAAGACATCAGTGAATTGTCAAGGATCAGATATTGGAAAATTAAACAGCCCTCATCCCTTTCCATCTTTAAAAGAAATATGACAGCAAAATCATTTGTTTTAAGACAAAGTTCGTCGCATTGGTCTGACCTTGCAGGATTATTGATTTTTGCCATTTTTACAACAATTTTACAGTAATGACCCCAGTTCACAATTATGGTTATGAACCAGGTGGCAATAATTCAACCTTCAACTCGCCGGGGAATCTATATCCGGCAAGAAATAAGATCGAGAGGTACCCCCTCCCCAACTTGTCCAATCGCTATGCACACTCTAGACTATAGTTACCTAACACACGCCCCCCCCCCAGATGTCCGAAAAGAATTCCTCAGATTCCAGTGAGACAATGACCAACACAAAGTGGGGGGTTTTATCCATCTCATATTTTGCTTCATATGAGGTTGGAATGGAGATTCTTGTTGAGTTTGATAGGAAGATGTGAACACTGTGAACATATTTGAATGTATCAAAATATTCATGCAGGGTGACAGCGGTGGTCCTTTGATATGTCGCGGAACCAGTGGACGATGGAAACTGGTCGGGATCACAAGCACAGGCTACAGGTGTGATGAAACTTCCCCGGGTGTTTACACGAGAATCTCTCACTACATTGATTTCATTCGATACACTATTGCTTCAGGTAAGACCACTAACCAATGTTCATTTACAATTGAAAATAAAGAATTTGAAAAGCAAACTTATCGACATATTGGAAATAATTTGACTTTAACTGACCTTCACCATTCTCACGAAGAAACAAAGTGGCCCCAGATCATGATTTTGGGGGCCAAATTTAAGCAGATTGTGTGATGCTTGCACCTTTGAGTAATCACCTTTATCAAATCTACCGAAATCTGGTGAATAACGATGATCACCGCAGGGCAAAATTCAACTAAACTGCATTTCCCGTTTTCACGGAGAGACAAAGTTGTCTTCCATAGGTAAAGCGGTAGCATCAAGGCCCCAAACAATAGGCCAAATCTGTTTTACTATTTTCACAAAGAGACAAAATTGACTTTAGAAATGTAATAAAATGTAAAAATTTTGCACCTAGACGTGCTATGGCAAACGCGTGTATACTGTGCCCGCCCTTTTCATGAAGAGACACCAGATTTGTTGACAAATTGAACAGAATTAATTGACTTCTTTGAAAACTATTTTGTAGTTTTGTGTCCTTTAAGATCCCTTCTTTTGGGATGTAGCATTGGTTAAGTCAAAGAAATGCTAAATACTTGAGAAATAAACCTTAGAAAAAGAGACCAACTGCAAATGCGATTTTCTTGAAAACTGTTTTTACTCTTTGGCGAGACTTGTGTCTCTGCGAAAATGGTGACGGTTTGCCCCACAAAATGCACACTTCTAGTTACTTTTGACCATAACTGTTTGCATCGGCAGTCATCCGGCTATTGCAGTTCAGCAGCAACGAAACCTTCATTTACTTGACATGTCCATTTGATTGGTGTTCGATTCGGATTTATTGAATAATTTAGGTTTAGGTCAATGTTGGTTGATCGATATAATGTTACAGAGTGCACTTATGGATTTTATTTGCAGAAATAATTAAATTTACAACTGTTTTCATTTTCATTCAGACGCCGATTTGTGTACAGGGGAAACATACAGGTGTGCCATGGGGGCATGTTTAAGGTCTGAACTAGTATGTGACACATACCCAGATTGTGAGGACGGGAGTGACGAAATTTCTTGCGAACCAGGAGGTATAAACTCTAACAAAACGTCTACTTTTCGCTTTGGATCACATATTTTTCCTACTATCAGTTTGTGAACCCCTGAACACAATGCTTGTATATAAACACATAATAAGTGAATCACTTGTTATCTCTAAGGTGATGTCTTGAAGGGAAGGCCACTAACTTTGGCATTTTATCGATTCTGAATTGTTTGTTGAAGACTGAATCCACGAAAGTATAAAATTTCCTTTGAGTTAATCGAACAGGGGCACCGTGCTTTTTGAAAGTACGTGTAGGCCTAATTAATTCGTCACGCTTCCATATACTTGAAGCATTACGTTGGGCCATAAAGTCATTAAGGACATGTTTTACTTGAACTCTGATACGTATTTAACACAATAGATCTCTCTCGTGTCAACAGGAAGTCGGTTGGTTCAAATTAGAGGCAATGAAGGAACGCACATTTCGTCACCTTTTTACCCAAGGAACTACATCAGTAACCTTGATGTAATTTGGAACGTCGTGACAGACGAAGGCTTTAAGATTTCCATTCAGTTCATCACGTTCCGGACCTCGTCGAATTTGGACACTTTACGTGTTGGAGATGGCGTCTACCTTTCCAACAGCACAGGAGAGTTCTTTATGTGGAATGGGACAAAGTTTCCGCCTAGTCTTCTCTCAAGCGGCAGTGCCATGTGGCTGCGATTCACATCACTTTCTGTGTACCCGAGCGGTGGATTCAATATCTCCGTCACTGGCGTCCCCTTAAATGGTATCACTATAAACCATTATCCAGTTTCCTGTTCTAGGCCCCAATCTTGAGAAAGACATTGTGAATTTACATAGAACTGTATATTGCAAGTTTCAACACCAAATATTAATCACGTGGTATGATCCATACTGTATAGTTTTTTCAGCTTGTTAACTGAAGCACCTTTAAATTTAGGAGGAAGAATCACTGTCTCCCATTTCTGTGTCTGTCAGTTGACTTGGTTCAGGTTCAACAAGTTATCAATATGCTTTGTGTGTTTATTAAGAATCCCTGAACTGTGAAGGGGAGTTCGATTGTGGGCACTCGGTCTGCATTGATCGTGGCTGGTTGTGTGATGGACAGACTGACTGCATCGATGGACGAGACGAGGAATTCATGTGCGGTACGTTTTGTTTATTTTCGCATGAATATTTATGTGAGTGGACAATGGACAAGTTTCTGTTTTGAAATTAAGCATTTGTGGTCACTTTCTGTTTTAGGATGTGTGTCGAACCGCTGCCTGAACGATGGTACTTGCCAACCTGTTGGAGGGTCCGGATTCTATTGTCAATGCCGCGAGGGTTTTGGCGGCCTTCTGTGTGGTAAGGGCGAAGCAGTTTTAAATACACCCGACAGTAACCTTCAATGCTTTTTAGTCCGATGGAAAGCTTTATTTATGTTAATCGCCTTGGGCAGAAGCCCCCCTTACGCTTGGAAAGAGCCAGGTTCGTCCGAAGTGTTCATTTTGCTGGTAGCGACGCGACCGTAATGCATGCATTTTATCGTTGTGAACCAGCGAAGTGCTGCTCCGACTAAAGGGAATATTGCGCCCTCTCTTGGTCCTGCTCGTGGCCGATACACATTAACTTGATACATTTGCGAATGCCTTGAGTCGATTTGGGGTGTCATAGGGTGTTGTTGGACATCTTCTCAACGTATACACTAAGTGCCCATTAGAAAAGTATGTTCAAATGTATGTTTTTTAATCACCTCATTAAACTTACTTTTACAACAGAGGCAACTCTTATCAATCTTGGGGCGAACGAGTCGGTTCTAATAAGTTCCCCGTCCTATCCCAACGACTACACAAACAATCTGGACCTCATGTGGATTGTCGAAACGGTGGACAATCGACAGATTCTCATCGATTTCATTGCTTTCAACACGGAGAGTTGTTGTGACCATCTAAGAGGTGGGAATGGGGAGGATTTTTCCAATTCCTCTACAACTCTCTTCCGCTGGAGTGGAAGCAGTCTACCACCTCGTGTGTCGTCCAACGGGAACGTCATGTGGCTGAGATTTACGTCAGATTTTAGTGTCACCAGAAGTGGGTTTCTCTTGTCGGCTCGAAGCGTCTCGTCAAATGGTAAGTCCCAATGTTTATGCTCTATCTGTAGCAATGGAGTTTAATTTCGAATGTTTTCTGTCGGAAATATATTGCCATATTGATAAAAGGAGTAGTGCAATATTATTTCATTCGGAAGTCTTTATCCTTAATTTTTGAACTTTTAGCGAAGTAGAATTCGTTTGGGTCTGATATCATGTAACTATCGCATATTTATTGCTCATCGTGGGGTTATCAATTCTAATATCCACTGCATGATACCTTTAGGTTTTCTAAGAAATGTGCGTAAGTAGGAATATGACAGACTCCGTAACGCCATAAATACCGCGGAATAACCCAGTTACCCATTTTAAGACAAATTATAAGAAAACAGTGTGAGCCATACTTCTCTGTGAGGAATGTCACACGTCACACAGTACCACGTTCACGTCTCCGTGGTCGCGATGCGAAAAAGGGTATGAGATTGGCTGGAATCACTTGGCTTGGCAAATCACCTCTAGCACAAATTGCCGTGTCGCTCACTAAATAT